GCCAATATCCTATATAATAAAAGCCTAATAGGCAAATCAACCGAGTGGCGGAATGACCAGAAGAATGACCGGTCGCTATGGTGCGCGCTGACCACCAGGGGGCAGGTGGTCAATGCAGGCCCCAGGCCAGCCAAGGCGGGTGCCAGCAGGGGGAGAGCTGATCGCCCTGTCGGTTGCCCTGCAGATCAGCACCGATGGCTGGCCAGGCCGAGGGACCCTGCCTGTGCATGAATTTCAGCACCGGGCCTCTAGTGATTATAATAATTGCAGTGTGTCATGGTGTGCGTCTCCCTGGAGTGATCTTACTTGGAGCTCCTGGTCTGGGTGTTTTTTCTCCCCCACTGTCTGCGGAGGTCTTACTAATGTCATTTAATAAGCTTCTCTCTCTTCCGTTTCTCTTCCTTCCGTGGGGACCTGTATTATGCGAATGTGGTACTAAGTCTCTTCAGCCGCCTTCACTATTTCCCATGCTTTTTGCTTCTTTGATGGGATGCATTCCGCTGCCGAGAAGTGTATGTTCCAGCAAAAGAACAAGCCAGAACTCCAGAAACAGACAATAAAGTGAAGATGGGTGACTAACCTGATAAAGAATGGAGAATCATGGTCCTAAAGATGCTCACCGAGGTCCGGAGAACAGTGCATGAACACAGAGGATTTTAATAAAGAGACGGGAAATACATAAGAAAATACCGAGCAAATCACAGAGCTGAAGAATACTGAAACGGAACTAAATTCTACAGAAGGAGTCAGCATCACATCACATGAGGCGGAGAGAAGAGCAGCAACGGGTCTGTTTTTGTTGGAAGAGGGCCAGGGACGGTCGCCCAGAGGAGGAGGCGTTTGAATTCCGTTGACATTTTCTCACATTACTGTTAGGTTTTTGGAAAGTGCCTACGGCTTCCTCAAATCCCCCGTGTGACGGGACAGTAAGCCGACCTGGTGAGGGTGAAGAGCGCATCTCGGCAGCCTTCACTGAGTGCTAAGTCCAGAAACGGCCAGGCCCATCGCACTGTTTCCTTTAGTTATCGCAGCGACATGGAGGCAGGCGTCGTTGCTCTGCATTTTAGGAGACGAAACCCAGGAGGAAGAACCACACCCCACGTTATGTTAGACGCTGAGCCAGGGCGGCCTGACTTCACAGTCCAGATGCCCATCACTAACAGCACAAAAGTAGATTCTGTTTGAAAAGATCCTTGGTTAATGAAATGGGCCCGTTCTTATTCAGACCAACCAAAATGCCATCTTTTAAAAGTGAGCACTGCTGGGCTGTTTTTGATTATTGTTTAAACTTTTCCTGTTAGGAAGCATTGTGGAGCCAAGACTTGCCTTTCCAAAAGAGTTTTTAATCTTTTCCATCTGTTTGCATAAGGAGAACGAGTCCTCTGAATTAGTACAGTGGATTGTATACTTAACTGTGTACATAAGATAATGCCAAAGAAGCCTAAGTGTGTGTCTCGCTCTCTCTATATATCTGTGTCTATATAAGAACTTTACTTCATCTGGGCTAGGTTGATGGACACCCTTTTTTAAATTTATTTACTTTTTTTTTTTATCTTTCATTATTTTTGTAGTTGTTCTTGTCTGAGGACAGAGAGACCCAGCCTGCTTCCCTCTATTCAGTCCTATAATCTATTGGATTCTTTAGGGATCCTCTCCTTAAGACTTCCTGTAGGGGTGGGATGTGTTTGCTTTAACTTCCTCTTTTTAGTGCTGCCAAAAATATACTTTGCTCCCCCCCCTTTATTGGATTCTTTAGGGATCCTCTCCTTTAAGACTTCCTGTAGGGGTGGGATGTGTTTGCTTTAACTTCCTCTTTTTAGTGCTGCCAAAAATATACTTTGCTCCCCCCCCTTTTTTTAAAGTTTTATTGATAGTCATTATCATGAAACTGATGACTCATAAGGAACAACTATAGGGAAATCACAGAGAACCTGGAATCTCATAATAGTTGCCTGTTTCATAGTTCTTAACTCGCTTCTACCTCTGACGTTTGCTTTTGCTTCTGGCCTGACGTTTGGGTTCTCTCTCTCTCTCTCTCTCTCTCTCTCTCTCTCTCTTCAAATAGGAATTTGTACATTTCCAGCGATTGTACAGGGGCCACCTGTGGGCCTTCACAGCTGGCACTCATCAGCCCTTTTCCCACAGAGCAGGCTGCTCTCAGCTGTAAAAAAAGGCTAGATAAGAAATATTAAAACATAGGACTTTATTTACATACTCTAGGCAAACAGAGTTGGCTGTAGCCTTGAGAATATGTAAGATACATAACTTTTATTGCTTAATTGAAATGTTAAATTATGGTTACACCATTTCCACCTAAGCCCAAGGCTTTGAATCTCAAAGGGATGAAACAAGGCTAGGAATCGTTCAGTTTTCAGGTCATTAGGAGAATGCGTGCATTCCCCGTCCAGTGCTGGTAGGCCATTGCTGCATCTGCACAAGGCTTTAATTGCAGTGTTTCCTGTTAGCATTCGCTGCTTTTGTTTTCTTAGCCTCATGTCCCAGGCTTCCCAAGATTCTGGATTTCCTAAGATTTCCAGGATTCCTTAGATTCTGTGAGCAATATTTCCAATAAATTCTTTTTTACTTTAGTTAGGCTTGCTTTTAGTTGTTTGCAACTAATGACTATTATGGGATGAATTATGTACCTTCTTTCCCTCCCCACCCCCCAAATTCCTGTGTCGAAGCACTAATCTCCATACCTCAGTATGTGACTGTCTTAGGGGACAGGGCTTTAAAGAGATGATTACGTTAAAGTCAGGCTGTTGGGGTGGTCTCTAATCTGACTCGTATCCTTATATGAAGAAATTTGGACACGGACATTAGAGATGCCTTGTGGACACAGCAAGAAAGCAG